TAGAAGCTGGTGGCGAGACTAAGGTGGAGAAGTTGCGGTGCCAGAGCAGCTCAACCAAATCAAATTTATATGAATTTTTATTTTTTATTCACAGCTATCGGAGGCAACTTTGCCTTTGCCTTTGCGGTCGCAGCTGGTCGACAGACAATTCACACCTTCTCCCAGCAACGCGTAAGGTGCTAGACCGTTGGTGTTTTGTGCGTGTGCTTTTGTTGCTATCAGATATTGTTGTCGTTGCTGCTTAGGTACAAGATTTTTTTATAGCTTTTTTTCTTGAAGACATTAGTTTGCCTTTTTTGTTGTCGTGCATTTAGTTTTGCGCAAAGTTAGTTGTTTGAAAAAGAGTTTTGCGTGGATTAAGTGGAAAAAGTTAAAAGAGAGCGTATTTTTTACTTGCAGACTTTGTAAAAAATAAAAAGCGTTTTATAAAATTTTACTAAGAAATTTTTATTTTAAAAATAATACTTTTTAAAGTATAGTTTTTTTTAGCGATTATGAGCCACAAAATTCACCTTTTTTAAAATAGGAAAAAAAAGAATATTTGTTTTTTGATTTTTTATTAGTAGATACATACTTCAGAGAGAAAAAAAATTATAAAATTTTACGCAAGACATATAATTTTAAAAATAATATTTTTTAAATAATAGATTTCTTTTAACAATACTGAGCCATATAATTCACCTTTTTTACCCTAGATATATAATTTTAAAAATAATATCTTTTAAATAATAGTCTTTTTTTTATTTTGAGCCAAACAATTCACCCTTTTTAAATTGGTAAGAAAAAAATAATTGTTTTTGCCAAAACTGTTTTTTTTTAAACCTAAAAAATTGATAAAAGATACAGTTTTATAAAATTTTAAAATTTAATTTTACTGAATGTTAAAGTACAGTACGCCCCTGGTAAAAGTAACCAATACAATTTAGGGCTGTTGCATTAATTGATGTTGTTGCAACAGTCGAGTCACAAAAGTATTAAGACATAAATGGGATGGGAAATTATGGAAGATAAGTTAAGCCTTGTTGTTCATCATAAAATTAAGTAAGAGTACTTATTCGCTATATTTATTCAGTTTAAAAGATACATACAGTCATACAAATATGCATCACCTGACGCTTTGACGATTTTTTTTTATATTTTCCATACCAAATTTTCTTAATTTTTTTTATAAAAATATAGTTCATTTAACAACAAAAAGCCAAAAGTATAATATTTTTTTTTAATTTAATACAGAACTCGGCCGCTGTGGTGTAGTGGTAAGCAGTGCGCGCTTCCACTCCACAATGCCTGGGTTCAAACCCTGGTCAAAGCAACATCGCAAAAATATAGAAAAAAAGTTTTTTTCTTAACAGCGGTCGTCCCTCGGCAGGCAATGGCAAACCTCCGAGTGTATTTCTGCCATGAAAAACAGCTTCTCATAAAAATACAATCGCCGTTCGGAGTCGGCGTAAAACTGTAGGTCCCTCCGCTTTGTGTGACAACATCAAGGCGCACGCCACAAATCGGAGGAGAAGCTCNGAACTCGCGAAAATGCAAGAAATTTTCATCGAAGTTTTCAAATTTTTAATTCAATTTCTTAGAAAATATGTGCAGTTTTGTAGGGCATTAAATTTTTGTAGCAAGTTTGAAGTATCTAAAAATTGCCGTTGATTTTTAAGAATTTTTTCTGCCGATGGTGTTGCGCATTTTCTTCCAAGAAATCGAATTGAAAAATTGAAAATTTCGATGAAATATTTTTGGTATTTCTTGCATTTTCCCGAAATAAAAAAAATGTATTCTTGTGGATTTTGCACTTCTAGAATGGATTGAAAGGACTTGATTACACGTCGAATTTTCTACGATCCAGGAAATGATGTATGTGTCATACCGACTGTTCGAAATGAATCGTTTAGCCTTGGTTTGCATTTTTGGAAAATTATCTATTTGTGTGTCGCTGGCTATGAAAAAGATCGTTGGAAAATATATGCATGAACTGTGGTTCAGCTGCAGATCTGTAGACCAGGATTTTATACCTCCTTCCTAGGTACAAGTTCTCTTTTCATGAGTCCATTTTTTTTTTGCGTTTATTCAGTGTTGCTTTTACCAAGGGCGTACTGTAGTTGCATTTCCAAAGCCTAGTTTACATATTTTTTAGAAGTGGCGTTATATGTGAGTGGGTAATATCTGATTCTGACAAATTTATCAGCATACGCTTTGAAAGAAATTGGTAAACAGTTTTAACAGGCAGAAAAACTGATTTTTAGGGAGCATTATTTGCTAAAAAATGAGCTTGAAAAAATGTTTGTTTAGAGCGAAACAATTACTCCTTTTCAAAATTCTTACTCAAAAAAAAAAAAAACAAAAAATAAATAAATAAAAATCGATCCTCTATTGCCAAGCGAGCTGTAAAATTTAATCCAATACATATGTCTGCCACCAAAATTTTTCCGCTGGATATCGTTGAAAATACTTTTAAAAATAAAACAAATTTACCTATATCGCAAAGGTTTTTCTCCAGAAAAAAATCTGTGGAGTCTGTGGAGATAGAAAAATGTAAATCTAAAGTACTTGCATTAAAGTTGTTTATAAACTTCTACCAAATGTTACAAATACTTTCAACAAGAAAACAGTCCACTTAAGTCATTGAACCATCATCATGCATGTCATTCCCAACCTTTTAAAAACATAAAATATTTATTACGAAGCTATATGAGTTAATATGCCGCCCAGTCACCAACAAGTTTTGTAAATTCGTTTCAAAGGAAGCGCTTGCTATTAGCTACTATGTCCTTTTAATTCATTTACGGATCTTACTCTCCAAAACGGATTTTTAGTTCGATTTACATCTGGCGAGAGATTGGCAATCTAATGAGGTTATGCGCCATTTCCTCTTTCTAATTGCAACTAAAGCGACTTTCATGCTTTCGGTCGGTGCGCGCTTGAAGAATTCAATCTCGTTATCCGTTGATGGCAGCAGCCCTGAAATTGGTAACCCAATTATTCGTGAACATGATCCTTGTTTTGGCTAGCATATCTAAAAATGCTCCTCTCTTTGATGCATCACAAACCCGCTAAGCCGCTTATTGCCTTTAGTGGACCAGGCTAGCTTAATGGTGTTGGTCATCCAAAAGGAAAAAAAAAATTGTCTGCAAAAACCACTTGCTTATTGAGTAACTTTCAAGGGTATGGCTGAATTATATTCGAAAACTCTCTTTGATACCAAATACTAATGGTTTCGGGTAGCTCTGCAAATACCGCGATTTGGCAAGTCCTTGTGCACCGAGGTGTTGTGGTTCGAACACTGAACAAATGCCTTCGACTTATTTCTGTGCTTTGTAGTACTGAAGTGATAGTTGATATGATCAAAGAAGGACTTCTCCAAAACGGAATTTTTTTCTAAAATATGCTTTTGCTTCGACATTGGCTAACTGATCGCCTAGCATCGAGGGTAATTGCTATTAAAAGGGCGCCAACTTATGGCACCGAATCAGGTAAAAATATTTTCGAGCAAGGACGCTAGAGGCGATGTCAAAATAAATAAAACTTCATTGCAAAATATCTACTAGGGTGGTCTTTAAAAAATATCAACATATACATTTTGTATGGGGCATACATTAATTTTATTCTACGTGCAAAATAAATACACACACGGGTATGAAAAATTTATAAATTTTTTAAGAATCACAAAAATTCAACTTATTTTTAACCGACTTCACAAAAAGGAGGAGGTTATCAGTTCGTCGGAATATTTTGGATCACGTTAACCGATTTCGATAATTCTTTTCATTGGAGAAGTGGTAAATCCGATAATTGGATCGTGAAGAAATTAATGATTATCTTAAATTTTTATATGAGAATTGAAGTCGGTTTTGTTTTTTACTTAAAAATAACTTGTTAACTTGAAAATTTCGACTGATAAATTTAACATATTATTGAAATTTATTCATATCAATTTATAAACTGCCTATGCCAAGATTTTTTTTGGCAGCAGTATGAAATAATTTATTTTATTTTGTAATGCCGCATTTACACTGTGTTTTGAATGACATAAGTTTTAATGACAAAGTTGTCCATTAAAAAAACTTGTGTCGTAAAGTTAATAATGACTAACTATCTGATTGAGTCTGTTGCCACATGGTATTTGTGTAATGTACGCATTTATTGTAATTTCAATGCCAAGTGGAAATTCGGCATAAAAGTACTAGTTGCTGCTGCTTCAAAAATGTTTTCTCTTAAGAAATAATAGGGTTTGTTGCATTGTTCCGACAGATGTTATGAAAAGTATTACTAAACTTTCCAACACTTTTTAAGATTATTTATGTTCAACAAAGTGACCTTTATAAAAGAATTGTATTAGGTTTTTTCACTAAGATGCTTGTGGGCTCTGTGAATTATGGCCGCGTGTAATAAGATCGCAATAAAAAAAATTAAATTAGACCGCGCGGGCATACATAATTCATTTTCAAAAGTGATATTAGGCCGCGACCGAAAAATGACATTAATTAATTCCATCCAACACGACCAGCATTTTAATGTAAAAGCTGTGTAAGTTTATTTCCACATGAAATTTTTTAAATGCCAAACATTTTCTATCATTTCAACTCCTAGTGAAAATACGGCATTACAAATTCATAAAATTTGGTAAACTGAGAGATTTTAACATTTTTCCCATTATCATCATATCATTAAAAACTATATTTGGACAACGATTTTTAAAGGAAAAAAAAATCAAAATAATGAATTGATACATATGTATGTATACGTATATGCATAGAAGCAAAAGTAGAACAAAAGTTGAAATTTTGTTTAAGGTTTTGTAAGAAATGAAACGACATGGTATCCGGCAGCACAACGATTGATGATTTTGAACATCAAAGAAAGATATAAAAAAAAAAATTAAAACATAATTTGCCGAAAATATACAATTTTTATTTGTTTGCGCTTATTTAGAGGATAGCAAAGTTTTATTATCACATAAGTCTAAAGAGCCATAGCTCAACTAAAATATGTATTTATTTCAGTGAAAATTGACATAAACACACAGTTACTCGTACCATTTAATGCACAAAAACCCCATAAACTCGTATAAAAATGTGCACTACTTAAAACATCGCGTGTTTTAAAAACTACAACAAAAATTAAACCCCCAAAACGCTTTCAACAATGGATATGACAAAAGACATTATTGATTATACACAAAAACATACAGATACAGCCGAACGCTTAATTGCCAGCTATCAATCGCCAGTGTCCGAGATCAGCGACGGAGAAGCGAGCGCACGCGCATGCGCCACATCCTCGCCATTTCAAGTGAGCACCAACATTGTTGACGCCAAATTAGTTAACTCACCAAAAGCACATAACGAGCTAACCATCAACACAGTGGCCAGTGAAATGCATACGACAGCAGCTGCACCAGCCGCTTCGCCACAAGCAGACGCCATGGAACAACAGCAGCAGCAGCAGCACGCGCACGTGTTTGCAAGCGCCACCAATGCTGATGCAACAGCTGACACAAGCGCCAAGGCGCAACCACCAATACAACAGCCACCGAAAAATACAGGCGCAGGCACGGGCGCCGGCGCTGTGATGAGCGGTGACATAACACCACCGCCACGCCCATTCACCACCAGCGAGGTGGTGGGCCTGAGCAGCGCGCTCGACGATGATCCTGATTTGCGCG